AGGAACTAAGGAGACACCAACATCAACAGAAAGAAAGGATAAAAAACAAACAGGAACTAAGGAGACACCATCATCAACAGAAAGAAAGGATAAAAAACAAACAGGAACTAAGGAGACACCAACATCAACAGAAAGAAAGGATAAAAAACAAACAGGAACTAAGGAGACACCAACATCAACAGAAAGAAAGGATAAAAAACAAACAGGAACAACATCAACAGAAAGAAAGGATAAAAAACAAACAGGAACTAAGGAGACACCAACATCAACAGAAAGAAAGGATAAAAAACAAACAGGAACTAAGGAGACACCAACATCAACAGAAAGAAAGGATAAAAAACAAACAGGAACTAAGGAGACACCAACATCAACAGAAAGAGACACCAACATCAACAGAAAGAAAGGATAAAAAACAAACAGGAACTAAGGAGACACCAACATCAACAGAAAGAAAGGATAAAAAACAAACAGGAACTAAGGAGACACCAACATCAACAGAAAGAAAGGATAAAAAACAAACAGGAACTAAGGAGACACCAGCATCAACAGAAAGAAAGGATAAAAAACAAACAGGAACTAAGGAGACACCAACATCAACAGAAAGAAAGGATAAAAAACAAACAGGAACTAAGGAGACACCAACATCAACAGAAAGAAAGGATAAAAAACAAACAGGAACTAAGGAGACACCAACATCAACAGAAAGAAAGAAAGGATAAAAAACAAACAGGAACTAAGGAGACACCAACATCAACAGAAAGAAAGGATAAAAAACAAACAGGAACTAAGGAGACATCAAAATCAATAGAATTGAAATATAAAACAGGACTCGGAAAGACACCAAAATTACAAGGAAGGCGTGGCATAAAGCATACTGGAACCATGGAGACATCAAAAAGCACCAGAATTACAGGACCTTAAATCCAACGGGGACCGAGGAGACACTAAAATCAACAGAATTACATTACACAAAACATACTGGGACCAGGGAGACATTAAAAAGCACCAGAATTGCAGGACCTTAAACCAAGCGGGAACTGATGGGACACCAAAATCAAGAGAATTACATTACACAAAACATACTGGGACCAGGGAGACATTAAAAAGCACCAGAATTGCAGGACCTTACACCAAACGGGGACTGAGGAGACACTAAAATTTACAGAATTACAGGACCTTAAACCAAATGGGGACTGAGGAGACACCAAAATCAAGAGAATTACATTACACAAAACATACTGGGACCAGGGAGACATCAAAACCACTAGAATTACAGGACCTTAAACCCAACGGGGACCGAGGAGACACTAAAATCACAAGGAAGGCGTGGCATAAAGCATACTGGAACCACGGAGACATCAAAACCACTAGAATTACATGACCTTAAACCCAACGGGGACCGAGGAGACACTAAAATCACAAGGAAGGCGTGGCATAAAGCATACTGGAACCATGGAGACATCAAAAAGCACCAGAATTGCAGGACCTTAACCCAAACGGGGACTGAAGCGACACCAAAATCAACAGAAAGACATCAAAGTAGAAAAGGGGCCAAGAGATTAGAATAAAAACTACATCATGTGATGTATCTTTTCAAAGATGTACTGTTATAGATAAGAAAAGAACCCCACCCAACCCCCTCCTAAATCATATAGTTTTTCCATGATGACATTCTAATTGCAAAAATATATGTGCTTTTCAATCGCTTGCAGTTTTGATTACAGAGAATCATCACATCCTCACAGTTTCATATTTCTGATTTTACAAAAATGTATAGAACACACAATGTTCCAATTGAATAACATTTATGATGAAACATTCAATAATAATGATTAAAGGTCTTGATTTAGTTTCAGATTCCTGTTGGGTATAAAACATAACGATCACAACATCAAGAGTTTATTTGATTTTATTATTCAATATTTGCATATAAATAATAGTTAATTTCTGGAAATATATCTATTTAATTAATTCTGTATCACATTGAAATAGATTTACGTCATCACATGCTATAATTACGTCACTGTGTCATATTGTTGTTTAGGACATCACAGAATACGATATCAATAAAACCGCAAAACCTTTTGATATCCTGTCATATTTCTTCATATTAAAAAAAAAAACAGCCCCACAAACTACAATATGTTTTTTATTACCTACTAAACTGTTATTAATACTTTACCAAATAAGTCATTGCTAATTGTTTCAAAAACACTATACAAAATGGATAACGTTTTGATTTCTCAATTATACAATATATAATTATAAATGATAATTTTCCAGCTGATTTCCCGAAGGTCTAATGCATTATGTACATTTCCATTTCACATGATGTCATAACTGACCTCTTTCTGATAAAGTACACTATACATTTTAACTATCGATAAAATCAAAATATCTGGATCAACATCAACTGTAATATCCAATATGTTACAAAAAAATGTAGACATGACATATATAACTTGTCATTCAACCATAGAATTACTTAATCGTTTTCTGTGTATTTTGCTAAATGATCTTTATAGAAAGACGTTTGGCCTTTGACAAAGGATTACATCTAATTATTGAGAAGACACAGCGACTGAGTAAGGCATTATTTTGAGCTACTGTCAGAAATATTACAGTTTAACAACAGATTAACATCATTCCACAGAATAGTAAATCTGATTTAACTGAACCTACGACACTTAGTGTCAACAGGTACACTGTGTGTAGCTATAATAGAAATTGTTAAAAACATTAACTACATATTATTTATGTCTATCTGGATATTGTAAACATGTAATATTTCTGTATACATATTGCATAGTTATACGTCATACATATACTTTTAGTATTGAAATCTATTACATGGCATGGTAGCTTAGTAACACAAAATACCACATACACTTTTTTTTATTATAACGCAGTTAGTTTCCTATTTTACACACGTACACAACCTACATTTGTCTGATATATCTCACACGGATGCCTACACATAACGCTTACATTGTGCACTCCGTCCGCACTGTACCAACCAATCACGCTAGAGAATACATTAGTCACATACTACCTAAAACATGACATCCTACAGGCTCAATTGTAGAATATCAATTTACTTACACAACTGTTTGTATTTGTATACAACTCCCCCCCCACCCACCCCCGAGTCTTACAATTCTATTCAGAGTCTCACAATCTTGTTCAAAGTCTTACAATTCTATTCAAGTCACTCTATTCTTGCTACTTTGAAATGGAGGCTTTGTAATCAATATTATTGATGTCATCAACCAATAGAACAATTTACCGGTTGTGCAACAGAACAAACCATTTCGAATAAATGTGTGTTGTTAAAATCTAAAAAGAAGTCAAGAGTTGTAGTGCTTTTTCCTGTGTTACATTGGGGAAGGCTGTCGTAGTCCAGTCCTGTGTTATACTTTTCAAGTTCAAAGTACAAAAAGAAATATAAACCTGCAATGATCATAAGGCAATTTGACAAAACATTACCATTCAATAGAGAGAACGTTCAACCAAACAACACGATATAGTAACAACTGAAAAGAATACAGCCTTGCTTAATAATTTTGTACAAATCGAACATACTGGTACACGGGTTCACATTGAACATACTGGTTTACTGGTTCACATCGAACATACTGTTTTACTGGTTCACATCGAACATACTGGTTCACATTGAACATACTGGTTCACATTGAACATACTGGTACACGGGTTCACATTGAACATACTGTTTTACTGGTTCACATCGAACATACTGGTTCACATTGAACATACTGGTACACGGGTTCACATTGAACATACTGTTTTACTGGTTCACATTGAACATACTGGTACACGGGTTCGCATTGAACATACTGTTTTACTGGTTCACATTGAACATACTGTTTTACTAGTTGAAATTGCACATACTAGTACACGGGTTCCCAGTGAACATACTGGTTTACTGGTTCACATCGAACATACTGGTTTACTGGTTCACATCGAACATACTGGTTTACTGGTTCACATCGAACATACTGGTTTACTGGTTCACATCGAACATATTGGTTCATGGGGTCAAATCGATCATTCTGGTATTATTACAGTTGTCTTTATGGGCATGGTTTATCTTTTTGTATTGAATACTCTGGGCTATATCATAAACATGACATACAAACATATAGTATTTGTTTAGCTTGGGAAATATAATCATCTTTACAACATCAATGGATGGTTATTTTAGTTTGTTAATTGTGTCATTGTAATTTCGAAGTGAAATCTACACGAATAAGTATGATGTTTACATCTGAGACATTTCATTGCCATGGTCAAACGACAAAAAATTTAAAGAAAATATGGTTTTCTCTCAAATCACAATAGCATTGATTCCCAATGCCTTGTGTCGCAGTAAAAGGTACACGGTGACAATCACATTCCATCATTGAAACAGTGACATGAAACAATGACAGGCTTTCTGCGTCAGTCTTCACCCGATATTATCAAACTTTCATATATTTGTCTTGACACATGGACTTCAAGCCGTCATTTTCCTTCCGATATACCAATATTAAATCAAAGTTGAGTAAATACATATACAATGCAGCTGTACATCACAACATATTCACATAATTGTTCAGTTTATAAATTTAGACATGTAAATTATCATGACATGGAGCAATGGTATACTACGTCATCGACTTTTGTCAATTACGAACACGTAAACATTATGAGTGTTTGTACAATATGACACAGAGTAAATATCTGTTTTGCTTAATGAGCGAGGCGATATAAAAACTGGCATTTTGTAGAACATTGCAAATTCTTAACCATTCTGATCGTTAAAGAATCATCATTATCAAAACAGTAACTGGCTTTTTTTCACATAAGGCACTTTGGGCTGATTTTTCAGGAAAAACGTCACAATTTTGTAGGTTTTTTTTTCACGACAAAAATGGCGCTTTCAGACACAACAGCAACACTTCCTCATGGATCCATGCATGTATGTATGATTACGAACAGTTTCACAACATGAACGGCAGTCTTTTCTTTGAACTAGAGACGACACTTTTGTCTCGGAAATGTCTCAATATCGGGTTGTTGATGCCGATCGTTTCGAGATCCGAATCTGAGAACTTTGAAAATCTTTTTCCGCTCACAGACTTTTTATTAAGGTGATTCACTACCCTGTCTGATAGTCCCATGTGTTTGAAAAATGTCGTCATATCCTCAACGGAAAATCCGGATATGTTTCCATCTCCTGGAATGGTGATTTCGTTTTCTGGGATAAATTTGGTTCCTGAAAGAAAACAAAACATTCAGAATAAGGTTATCGGTGAAGTTACATACATATATATATTGTAATGTTCGGGTCAGGACTTTTATTAATAAAACTGTATATTGTATAGTCAGGGCCGGGAATGTTACTGATAAAGCTGTATGATAAAGCTGTATATTGTATAGTCAGGGTCGGGAATGTTACTGATAAAGCTGTATATCCTATAGTCAGGGTCGGGAAAGTTTCTGATAAAGCTGTATATCCTATAGTCAGGGTCGGGAATGTTACTGATAAAGCTGTATATTGTAGTCAGGGTCGGGAATGTTACTGATAAAGCTGTACATTGTATAGTCAGGGTCGGGAATGTTACTGATAAAGCTGTACATTGTATAGTCAGGGTCGGGAATGTTACTGATAAAGCTGTATATTGTAGTCAGGGTCGGGAATGTTACTGATAAAGCTGTATATCCTATAGTCAGGGTTGGAAATGATACTGATAAAGCTGTATATCCTATAGTCAGGGTCGGGAATGTTACTGATAAAGCTGTATATTGTAGTCAGGGTTGGAAATGATACTGATAAAGCTGTATATCCTATAGTCAGGGTCGGGAATGTTACTGATAAAGCTGTATATCCTATAGTCAGGGTCGGGAAAGTTTCTGATAAAGCTGTATATCCTATAGTCAGGGTCGGGAAAGTTTCTGATAAAGCTGTGTATTGTAAAGTCCATCCTTTAATTTGCTTTTTGGCCTAGATATCGGTATAATGTAGACTTACCATTTTGTATGTTTCTTGGCCTCATTCTGGGTGGCAGTTTCTCTATATTCCTGGGGGGTTGGGTCGGCAGTGGTGGTGGATCCGAATCTTTTGGCAATGCCGGCAATCCTCTTAGGCTACAAGTACAAACAAAAGACAATTATTTATTTAAATCCTCTCTTGAAATAACAATTATATATTGTTAAGAGCGATAACACATGATCTACACACTGAAAATGGGTGACCCTTTAACACCGCGTAAACGTTACAGAATACACAAATCTTGTCGTTCCATACAAAAGAAAACAGCTCAGTGTTTTGAAAGGTGTCGCTCTATTTCTTAACAAAATACTTATAGACATTCCCTAATATCCGGTCCATCGAACCGTAGGTATTGCTCTGTTTACTCCGCAGTGGACCGGAAAAGAAGGATCAATATACAATAATGTCGGTATTATTATAGAAATAAAGCCGAGTGGTATCGCCATGACACGCTGGGATGGTCCAATTTTTGTAACCCCCACGACAAAGCCTAACCTCTACACTAAATAACCTTTTAATTAATGAATTTACGTGCATAAAATAAATTCTGTCGATAAAAGGTGAAAGAATGTCGTCTTTATGAGAAAAAAAAACCTAACGTGATTATTTTGATGGGAGAAGATGGATTGTAAGATATCTTTGAAGTGCCTGATCATTTTTGATTATTATAAGCTAGCAGTCCATAATATTGGTGTTTAACATTGTGACGTCACAAACGCAAAGGTCACTCCTTTCATGTTCAGTCTAGGAACGTGGTTTATCATCATAAATATGACAACTATACATATTTGTAATACAACACCATGTGACTAGTGAATACATCTAACCCTAACCCACTGTACAACATTTACATACACAAAATATGTTCAAGGTTTTATAGGAATCCGGAGGTCTTTTCACAGCTGTATCATCACCAAATACTGTACATTTTATCAATGAAACCACAAGCACGTGGTAAAGTTTATGTAAAATATGTTTTAAGTGATGCTGTGACGGAAATTGGCGTCACGTTCCTGTGGTGAAGTGTTGAGATATATGAATAGCATGACTTACAGGAGATTTCACTTCTTAGGGACTTATGAAAGTCCTCTTTTCTTTGATGAAAAATTGGAAACCCTGTGTCCACTTTCAATCAATAGGTCTATTTCTTCTCATCCGATTTCCATACTGTCACTTTCTCTATTGTCTTCATTTTTGCACCATTAGACAGTTAAATAAGTGTAAGAGTTTAACGTTATATAATTTTTTTTATCTAAAATTACTTTTACTCAAGTGCTCACTAAATAGCATGGCAATTATGTAACATAATATCACATGATGTGGGAATGTATCAGTGTGATACCGTCTTACGTGTATTCCTGTTTCACACACGTGTCGTGCTGTCTCACACACGTGTGATACTGTCTCACAACGTATTATACTGTCTCACACACGTGTGATTCTGTCTCACACACGTGTGATTCTGTCTCACACATGCATTAAACTGTCTCATACATGTTTTATACTGTCTCACAGATGTATAATACTGTTTCATACACACACGTGTGCTTCTGTCTCAAACACGTGTGATTCTGTCTCACAAAAGTGTTATACTTTCTCACACACATGTGATACTGTCTCGCACACGTGTTATACTGTCTCACACACTTATTATATCTTGTTTTAAAAATATTCACAAGTAAAATTTTCTTTATGATGTTGTTTTAGAAATCTGAACAATCAAATCCGCCCGGGGCTGTTCTAACACACTCTTCCGTAACTGAAACCTCTATCCTGGTATATTGCTACTTGAAATGCATAAAATGAGTAATACTTTATGTGCACACTATACATCTTATAGCTTTCATTATGGCTCTAACCTGGTTTTCCTTGTCCGTCATCCGTCTCCAATGTAAGACCTACACGGAGATTACATAGTGACAATGTAATGGCTAATGACAGGTGTATCACCACGTACAGGTGTTGTATGAATTCCTTACATAACACATAGGCACGTTTAATGGAAACTCATTCATGCAATATGAATAAAACTCTTCAACACGCCCCTACACACAGTTTACCCTGGTGCAAACAAATACCATGCACTTAATTTTAAACTAAAAAAAAAAGATTTATGCAATAAATCAAAAACGCTAATGTAAATACACATTCATTGAGCAACAATCAAATGTAAATTATATTGTCCTTCATTGTATTCACATTGTATACCAATGTCCTCAACGTCAACTTCATATTCAGGTCATTTTTTTATTTTAATCAATATAAGGCATCGAACCTTTCCCAGAGATATATATTTGAAGAATATTAAATTTGGTAGTCACTGGAGCATCTTTATAACTTAAGACTTCGTCACAGCATCTCGGATAAAGTACTGGTCCTTATAGTGACTTACAACACTCTGCTGTTAGTTGTTGGGTTAAAAAGTGTCTTTTAATACTTCGGGTACAGTATGTTTACTTGTTAATAAAGTGTCTTTAAAATACTTCCGGTATGGTACATTTACTGCCTAGCATAGTGATTTACAATACTTCCGGGTGGTACATTTACTGCCTGGTGTAGTGATGTACAATACTTTGGGTGGTACATTTACTGCCTGGTGTAGTGATGTACAATACTTCCGGTATTGTGCATTTACTGTCTGACGTACTGATGTACAATACTTCTGGTTTTGTACATTTACTGTCTGGTGTAGTGATGTACAATACTTCCGGTATAGTACATACGTACAATACGCCATGACGAAATGTATTTGTACTAAAACGTACCATGTTTCACAACGACAAACCAAATGTAAAATGTACCACAATGTCATAACATCTCATTTTAAAATGCTACAGCTCCAAAACAGGGACATAATGAACAGTATGTACCACAGTGCCAATTTCTCGGGGTAAAATGTGACTTCAGCGTCAACGGCCAATGGTAAAACATTTGTAATATACCGCACATCAGCGTCAACCAACGGCAAAGCATCAATGGCAAAATATATGGCAATATCACAGTGTCAAAACCAGAGAGAGAGGGGAGGGGGGGGAGAGAGAGAGACAGAGAGACAGAGACAGACAGACAGACAGACAGACAGAGTAATCGCAGGGTGTATCTCTTTTTCATTCCGAATACATTTGCGATACAATTAGTCATTTTAAAATGAACTGTAAATAGAGAGCAATAATTTTCAAATTAAATATATTAACTTTTGATGTATTTAAACGAAACGCATGATTAAGTTATTTTATTTTTATTGACAACTTAAATATATTTCAGTCCGAAATATAGAGAAACTCGTTTCTAAATCAATACCATTAAAAAGCCGGGTAATTTTTCATTTTGGGGCAGTTTTTTCATAAGTAGCAATTTCCATTCAATTCGAATTAAATGGTCCCATATAGATTTACATCTGTGTCCTAAAGCCAACTATGTCACACTGGTAAGAACTGTTCCTACATGAACCAGGAACACGTCATATTGTTAAATCAACTAATGTGGGAACCGAAATCAGGGGGCTTATCACGGGCCGAAATGGAGGGCGAATCACCTCGCCATAAAACAAAGGTAAAATTGTGTTAGGTAACCGATATCAACATGATCAGATATCATTAAATCTGGTTAGGTGTTTCACTACAGTTCCAGCACAGTATATTGTCAGTCTGTAACCATCCTTTATATCGTACACACCTGTTAGGTTTGAAGTCAGTGACCTGTTAAGTTAATGACCTACACTAGTGTACTTACTAACTCGGAATAAAATACATGTAGATATATTGCAAATATTGTAAAATACTAAATTCTGGTTTGTTACGACATAAGGTTGAAAATATACATGTTATCACAAGTTAGTGATACCCTTCCTTCACACCAATAGAGGGAGCCACATCTGTTTAGGTTTTGATGAAAATGCCCTCAAATAACACATTATCGCGACTGACGATAGTACAGCAGAAAAAAATTATACTAAAAAAGACTATATAGCTCAGAGATGTTTTAAAGCTGTTCATGTGTCGTCATGTCATAAACAGTAAGCTGTAGGTAAACACGTGTTTGTCAATATGTTCTACACAAGGCAATTTTTACACTTAAACGCGATTTACGATAGTACAATAGAAATAAAAATTTACTTAAAAATAGCATATAGCTTAGAGATGATGAACAGCTGTTTCTGTGTCATCACATCAGGTGAACATGTGTTTGTCAATATTTTCTACACATGATATTTTTTTCTAAACATAACACGAAATATTTACCATACCTGAACTGATCCTCGTCCTCGTTCCGTTTTCGGTAGTGAATGGCAGGCATGTTGTGTCTACTTGCCGATCTGTGACATGCTAGTTCCTGCTAGTACAAATAAACGGACACATATGGTGGGTGTTTCGACTTCCACGGTAGACCGATTGTCAGGTATATGTGTCACTGCCTATACAGCTTACTGTATATAAATATGTTTTTTAAATACGATGACCGAACGCAACGTACCGTGACGAGTGTGGGTAGTTTCGTTGTCTGGTCATTATCCCTATTGTGTGTACGACTTCTATACATGAATTGTCATAATTAGACGCTGTCATTTATTGACTTAATAACAAGTCGCAATCACTTTTATTAAGTACTGTAAGTACTGCTGAGGTGACCGAAACCATGTGCGTTTTTTTAATTACATGATCCCGTTGAGAAGATTGCCGATATTATCCATTAATCTCGTCATGTTATTGCAATTGCTTCAAAAACATGTCAGAAAGGTATTTACCGATTTATTTAAATGAAAAAAACTGTTCTTGGTGAGTCAACTCAATTTGTAGGCGGAGGCGTGAAATCACCGAATAAACAGCAGGGATTATACGCTCTGGTACACCATTCACACCCAATGTTTGTTTATTTTCATTCGTTTTAGATCGTTTATTATTTAATGACGTCATAAATAATAGAGAGTGAATAACAAGTAATGTTTATATGATACAGAAATAAATTCGATAACCACAATTCTGATTTCGTGTTCTCTGTTCACTTTAACTTATCGTTGAAGACGCGCTAAACTTCCTTGTTTTTTTTTTTTTTTGTCATGAAAGCATTTTCTGTGACTACAATATTTGAACATTTA